CAGGTGCCTCACATTCCAGCATAATATGTTCCAGCGAATCGGGGACTTTGCATGTTGGACATTGAGCGAGGTTTTCCAGGTTTGGAATGTGTTCCCAGAAGAAGCCCACACAGTAGATATCATGCAGACTTTTCCATAAGAAGGCTCGGGACAGTCTGGTCATATTGTTGGACCTGAGAGAAGTCCAAATGGCGCTATCGGTTGGTTGGTATCCAATATTTCCGCAATGGAATAGCGGATGCGATCAAGATTGGATAGTGTTGATTTCCGCGAAGGTTTATCTCTCATTGATGTGATTATTTTTGTGAAAAGTCGTTGGTTGCCTTCCTTTAGGAGTATTCCCGGGTTAGTGAACATTAAGTCAGCTTGTGTATCGAGGAGGGTCGGAGTAGGTATCAGCAACTGCAGTTGCTTCGCAGGATTGTTATTCACGTCCTTGAAGTAGACCCGTCCAGTTCTCTCTTGCATGGCAGCAATGATAGATTTTATTAGTTGAAAATTCGAAATGAGTGGATTGTTTTCGCTGTTCCGGCGATTGGTGACAAAAGTTTTACCCAGAAAGGATGAGTTAGAGTGAACGGTGATCGAAGTCTCAGGTGAAGTTTCCTGGAGAACATATAGTAGGCCTCCCAGTATCGCAGTGTTAAATGATGGGTATTCATTTATGTCGAGGAATGAGAGGAGTAGAGAGAATTCCCTCTTGAGGTGTTCTTTCCCCTGGATTGATATCAGTGCGATCATTTCTGTGCGGGCTTCCGCAGGATATTTAAGCTTGGCATGAAGGTAAATGTCGAGAGGATCGATTTCGGGGGTAGGTACCGTGTAACGCTTCGTTGAAAACTCGGTTGTGTGGTCCTCAGAGGCAAAGATTCGGAAACCGTTTGAAAAATTTGTCAGCCGGAACAGCGGATCAAATGTCAGTGTGCTATCTTCCTCCTCGCTCCCACTGTCGTTTCGGGCTCTTTCTGCGTCAGAGAGCTCTAGCTCTTCACAGAGATCGTTATTGGCGATAAAAGGATTCCATTTTGGCTGGATACACTCTATTAACTCTTTGGCAACATCTATGCACTGTCCAGGATTTTTGCACCCGTATTCATTGCGGTCTCGTCGACATAGTGGGCAACCACAGTTTCTACGTCCAACCCCTGACGGGTTGACAACGTGTGGGCGTGCGGCAACTGTGGTCTTACGTCCTGCAATTTTTACGACGTCGGCCACGAGTCGCGTCTGGTGATTTTGCCGTAAACATTTAAGTGCGTCCTTCCTCCGGATTTTGTCAAACCTGTTTTCAATAAGTTCCAGGTGGCTCCAAATTGGCATTTGAAGCTGTATGTCCTTTGAGACGGAAAGTGCTGTGAACCGCAGTTGGAATTTTTTTGCCGCGTGGATCATGCACCGAATATCATCCGGTAGCGGGTCAATTCTCCAGGATGGGATATGTATAGCTTGTAAGAAGACATTGTACATCGATCCATGGCTACCCACAGGTTGGCTTGCCTCCCAGCGCTTTATAATGGTATGTTCAGCAAAAAATGGCCAATTTGCTCGCTCATCTCCTTGTCGTAGAAATTCTTTATAAAGTGAGTTTCACACATTTCGAAGGGAGTTCAACATTTATACAACTTCAGTCTGCAAGAAGACACTTGGTGGCTGTTATCAAAGCTTAGCGGCTCAACGGAACCAAGCCGAGGACACGCCGGGGATGACCCGGCTACCATATGCCCAGGTGATGAGAGCCCAGGGTGAGCCCTCGGCTGATGCGGGCACGTCGGCTTACCTGCGGGACAGGTGCGGGCTGTAATACACGCGGAGCTGTCAACACGGGTGATCGGCCGTGGTCGGCAGTGGCTGATGCCGGTTACCAGTGCCGGCCGGTGTATCGCCACCGCTTATCAATGGCGCAAATATCCCTGCCCAGTGATATCCACTGGAAGCCATTGGATCACAGTGGCTTTTCCCTCGCAGAACTGCCAGTGATTTCCGATGGCTCCCACTGGATATTTCTTGGCGCCCGGTAAACTACACGGCCACACTTCACTCATCGGATTCTGCCGGCGGCCGCCAACTTTGGAACTGTGGACAAGAGCCGGCGACTTCCACCGAGAGCATCCGGGAATTGTAGTGCTGGGTTTTAATTGATGTATTTATTGATCGTATTATACAAGGGCGTATAATACGTGTATAATACATTTTATACCCCGAGGCTCCGGGAAGCCATGTATTTAATAGGTATAAAATACCCCAAGACTTCTACAGGAAGTGGGAATGGAACACAGAGCTTATGGGCATGGCAGAGCAATTTTCTGACCACTTCTCGGATGTGGAGAGCATTAAATTCATCGAGGTCGGAATGACTCGGAACTGAGGCCGGCGGCTAACAACGATGATCTGCGGGCCACATGGGCCGTGTTTCCGAGTTTTTTTCCCTCCCACCACACAGTCCCGTCCATGCGAGAGCCATGGTGCTCACTTCAGAGCAATATGGAATTTTCAAGACAGCCTCGACGCGTTTCTTGGCGGAAGCCGAGTTTCTGCCCCCGACTAGGGCAAATTTGACCAGCCGACTTCACAGCCAGCACCGCAGCCACCGAAGCAGTCGAGCTCCGAATGGACTGGGCCTAAGTAGAATACATTAAATACAGCCTTAAATACACGTATAATACATTTAATACGTCGAAAATTTCGGGCCGGCAGCGCCGGTATTTATTGTATTATACAAGCCCTCCATTCTAGACCAGCAGTGTGCTGGACCCTCTCGTATTATACAACGTATTAAACCATCCAGACCCAGCACTAGGGAATTGGAAAGTTTGCCATCAAAAGTCCGCCAAAATGTCCGGCCGAGTGCGGCCAGACATTTGTCGGACTTTGAATTTGCGCAGCGTAATAGGGGTGATGCCAAACAGGGACAACATTCCACGCCGGCGGCAGAGCGCGCTGATCGTCGCGCGAAGAGCGCAGAGCGCGCTGATCGTCACGCGACGAGCTGGCGCACCGAGCTATGATGAGAGGCCGCACGGGATGAGAGACTTGAAACAGGCCCTGCCCAGCGAATCGTGGCGCAGAGAGAATTCGAAGCGCGCACCTTAATTCCTTGACAGCGCTGCCGCAGCGGGACACAGTCGTTCGCAACGACACACTCGATCTCAGAGCGCGTTTGATTTGTTTGCCTGTGTTGCTTGCTTGACAGGCCTTTGATTCAATCTCCGCTACATTGCTCATACGTCATTGTGTCCGCCGATCGCTCTGATGGCGGACATTTTTCCCGGACTTTCCAACTCCCGAATTTAGTGCTTCCACCGGGATACAATGGCTGATCATTTTGTTCTTCAGCCAGTGGAACCCACTGGACACCATCGGATTTCAGTAGTGGGCCATAGCCATGATGTCGAGGACTATACATGTATTCAAGTGTTGGATTCCATTTTATCCCACCCAGTGCGTTGCACGAAGATTTGGGTAACTTTGGGGTAAATACTATTGTCTATATTGTACACACACCAATGTAACATTACGAGCAGCCTGCTCTTGGATCATTCACCAATTAAGTTGAAGTGCCTTCAGCGTCTAGTCTCCTGACCATTGCGAACAAGTTGGGGGTTTAAATCAAACAGAGTTGCTTTACTGAATAATCTTTAGGATCCAGCCCTAAGTTTGACCTCTTCCCAAACTTACTTGTCTTATTGCATACATATGGGCATTAAATATGGCCAGTGGAATCCAGGGGTTTCCGACAGTTTACAGCGGAATTGACTAGCGGCTCGGGACACCAAGGACCAGTGAGAACCACTGGGAGCCATCAGGGATCCTGTTGAATGGCATACAAAAGCACTTAATACTCACTGGTCGACTTCCGGCGGGATCCAATGGTGTACGGTGAAATACGGCGGCATTCAGTGCCGGTTTAGGCATGGCGGACCGGTGAAAGCCGATGGTGATTGGCGGCACCCGTTGTTTGATCCCACGTACACGATGGCAAACAGGATCTGCCATCGGCCGCCACTAGCCAGTGGTGTCCACCGGCGGCCGCCAGCGAACTTTCCAGCGGCGGCTCTACAGTCCCCGATCTGACCTTGGTTGCCGAGAAAAGCCGTCGAGAGCCGTATACGGCCGTATACGGTTGTGACGGTGCGGCTTTGTACCGCAGGTGGACCGTACACTGCCGTACCGTACCGTACATCGTACCTAACCCAGCTCGTACGGGACGGTTACGGTAACCGTATTTACGGTTTGATGTACGGCCGTAATACGGTTACGGTGTCCAGCCCTAATTTCAAGTTGGCAGCATTACTCAAGCATTACTGAGAGTCTGAGCGGCATTCTCTTCAAGTTGCATCCTGGCCTTTGGCTTTCCCACTCCGAGTCGCAGTTTACTTTCCCTCAAATCCACCCTGACCAACGCCTATCCAAGACTCGGATCCGATTGCATTACGGTACGCACCTGCACACGTTATCCTGATCCGTTTTGAGTTAGGGCCCCCGTTCGACTCGGGGGTCGGGTCCTCAGGCCGTACACTTCTTTTTCTTTTTCACTACTTCACGGAAGCGTGCCGCAGGCCATTTTCTCCCTCTTTCCCTCATCCTGCATTGGGGTGGTTTGAATATCCTTAATACTTGCGGGCAACACTCAGACAGCGTGTCTTTTTCCTGGATCAATCATCAAACAGTCTGCTCTACCCCTTGGAAGCCCCCCTCAAGTAGATGCTTCTCACCACCTAAACGAGACCCGGCTGAGCTCCAGCACGCACCTGCCTCCGTTTTACCTTGAACTTGGCAGTTTGCAGGACCCCCGTTCGACTCGGGGTCGAGTCGCTCCGCGTTGACCACTATATCTTTTTTACTTTTGGACTACTACTCGGGCGTGGGCACGGCCATTCTCGCCAAATCCCTAACCTCGTCCATTGTTGCGGTAAATTTTGCATCCTATACACCTGCGTTCGACAATCAAACTGCATACCTTTCTCTCATCCTCGCTGCTGCGCCATCTTATAATGAAACGAGACCCGGTGGCGGACGACCGCATCTGCCCTCTGTACTTGTGGAAGCCGGCCAATTACATGCAGAAGGTCCCCGTTCGACTCGGGGTCGGGTCGTCCCTCAATTTCGTCCCTACTTTTTTTCGCATTTGTCCTCTATTTCTTTTGATTCTTTCTCCCACGTGCAGGTTCATTCATATTGAGCAAATAGATGACGTACGTTCATCTCACCATCTGCCTCAATATACTTAACTTCGGTATTTGTATCTGCAGACGGTCCTAACTTGCTTGCTCAAGTTTCGTTATTTTGTGCCCTTTCCCTTTTCTCAAGAACCACTGAAAACAAGACCCGACTGCGCTCTTGAACGCACCTGCCTCCGTTTCGTCGAGTGCCAGGAGTTTTCAGGATCCCCGTTCAACTCGGGGTCGGGTCGTGTTCGTTATACTTGACTTACGTGTATCGGTTTTTTTTCTACTGGATCCGGACGTACGCGGAGGCCACTTTCTGTCTCTTTCCTTGATCCCGCCTCTGCGTCGCGCAACATTTAACTGCATACTTTATCCTCCTGGATCAATACAGTCTTGTGCTCTACTCCTGGCTCCCAGATCTCAGAACTTGCAGTAGTCGAGTAAACGCTTCTCGACACCGAAACAAGATCTGATTGCGTTCTGGAACGCACCTGCCCAAGTTGATGTCTTATATAGGAGTTTGCAGGAATCCCGTTCGACTCGGGGTCGGGTCGTTCCGCACGACTCAGGAGTCTCATTCTTTTTTTGCTTTAGACATGTATTGTTTCTTCCATTTTGGAACCTTTCTCTCTTCAGATCTCAAGGTTCGGCATGATGTACAGCTGCTCAAAGCTTCTACTCGAATTCAAGTTGTTTGCTGTTCCGTAACGCCGCAGCTCACTTCGCTCAGCACAGTTTGCAAGTATCCTCGCGCATAATAGATACTCCTCCCCGGAATTTCATGACCTTGCTCATCACGACCCTAGTTTGAGCTCTTTCTTGGCCCGGCGGCGTACTCACGAATCCCAAACCCTCCATCATCTCAAGGTGTTTTTCCAGGTATTTGAGACTCGGTGGCGGACGGCCGCATCTGCGATCTATCAACCCGCGTGCCGAAATTCGAACAGTCTAGATCCAGAGGTTTTGATACCATTACTCGTGTCGATTCCTTGTCGTCTGCTTCTTTCTTATCTCGGTTGCATTTTGTATATCGAGTATCATCTGGGCCCAAGGCACATCCACCAAACTTTGCTCGCATTCAAAAATCTCCCTTGAAACCGCGCTCCACACCACCAAAAACAAGTCCCGACGGTGCCTATAGTATTGATGCACCCAGGTTCAACTCGGGGTCGGGTCCTTGAGGTTCAATCCCTCCGCAATTCATTCAGTGTACTTACCCACTTGACACTCTCTTCAGCAGTTCGGCATCTCCTTCATGCATTTTCTTTATGCCCACGACATTTGCACGCTGCATTTCCTTTCCTGCCTCGAGCTAGTCTCGGACCATCCTCTCCCGACATCCCAATATGGGAACCCTGTCGTGAGAGTCTGGGCCAAAGCTGGCTAAATAACCGTACCATTGCGCTATCAAAAATCCGGTGTTTTCCGGCATTTCCCGTATCTGTTACTTTGGCCTATATAAGTGGTTTTACTTCAAAACTTGGAGGCAAAGTCATTTGTTTTCATCCTTTGGCATGTTCTGCCTGTTCAGAACTGTGCTATGGTTTGTGAACAAGTCAAAATGGACGCGACTCGGTCCTCTAAGTAACCGGCAGCACTGCCACACTCAGCGTCCACCCAAATTTTGGGAGTCGCCTCACCTCTGCTGAGTGAACTTGGAGATATTCTGAGGAGGCAGAAGGTATTAATTTACTCTGTTCAACAAGTTTCTCTCTCAAGTCTAGCCAAAAGGGCCTGCAAAGTGGTAGAACAAGTACTGAAAAATCAGAGAATTGATAGCGCAATGGTACGGTTATTTAGCCGACTTTGGCCCAGACTCTCACGACAGGGTTCCCATATTGGGATGTCGGGAGAGGATGGTCCGAGACTAGCCTCGAGCTAGTGAGTTACTGGTACTTTGGAGTGGCGGCTGTCTCCCTGTATTTGTTTCGAACTTGAGACTGATTTTTACAAGTTCTTTAGTTAGGTACGATACGAAACATGAAGATAACAACCATTAGTGAGTGAGATGAGGACAGGGCAGCAGAGCTGATATCCCACTGGGGGCAAAGACCCACGCATGTCTCTTTGACATGCGTGGATCGAATGCCATTCGCATGTCGTCGTGACGGAATCACGCCGTCTTTGTTAGAATTGGCTTTGTGGTTAAGTAGATACAACTAATAATTAACTGAGACTCTACCAATATAAAATATTGTTTTAGAATACTTATCTTGAATTTTCGATGCACAGCCAGGAATTACGAGGCATGCCTGGACGGTTTGCAGTGGCGAGCCACAAATGAGCCGTAGATGCAGTCAAGCTACGGCATGACAAAGCCGACGGCAAGTCGCGCCCTCGTGATGCGCCAGAGCCGAGCTGACTGCCACGTACTCATTCGCCCTGCCCACTGCCGGTGTTACGAAGCTGCCCGCCTCCCGCCCATCCTATGCCCCGTTTGGAAAGACATGCCTGGACCCTGTCGCGCTTTGTGCGCCTCACCTTTGTCGGGCCCGCATGTCGCCTTTGTCGCGCTACAGCCCCACCTGCATGCCGCCTTTGTCAGTCTACTGCCCCACCCGGACGTTGCCTTTGTCGGTCTGCTACCCTACCTGGACGTCACCTTTGACGGTCTACTCCGCCACCCGCACATCGCCTTTGTCGGCCGTGGCACGTCGTCGGGTCAATAACGTTATCTGTGTGCGCACGGATCAGCGGGTATTTGGAGCTGTTAAATTTGGAGTGTTCTAGGTGCACGTGCCCTTGTTTTTCCCGTCTTCTCTCTTGGACTCGCTGGCTATCTCGACATGCTTTCTCTTGTACTCAAGCATCTCTAATACAACTCCCATGTCTGTTGCTACAATCACAGGTAGGAGAGGGACCGTGAATACCGGGGTAATTCTCGCTTCCCCAACGCTTGTAGCAGGGTTTTTCTCTCGTCCAGGCTGGCGGCTCAGCATGGGTCACATAACTGTGGACTTGCACGTGGAGGGCGGAGCTGACAAAGGAAGAGCGGGGTCGGGCCGCTTGTAGGTGTTAGTGGAGACAAAGGAGGGGCAGACTGCCGCAAGGACAAAGGCCGTGTGCCGGGCAAGGCCACGTGCAGGTGAGCTGGTTGCCCGACAATGACGACGTGCAGGTGGGGTGGTAGCCCAACAAAGGCGATGTGCGGGTGGTGTAGTAGACCAATAGAATTGACGTCCAGGTAGGGTAGCAGACCGACAAAGGCAACGTCCGGGTGGGGCAGTAGACTGACAAAGGCGGCGTGCAGGTGGGGCTGTAGCGCGACAAAGGCGACATGCGGGCCCGACAAAGGTGAGGCGCACAAAGCGCGACAGGGTCCAGGCATGTGTTTCCAAATGGGGCGTAGGATGGGCGGGAGGCGGGCAGCTTCGTAACACCGGCAGTGGGCAGGGCGAATGAGTACGTGGCAGTCAGCTCGGCTCTGGCGCGTCACGAGCAGATACAAAAAAAAAAAAAAAAAAAAAAAAAAAAAAAAAATGGCGCGTCACGAGGGCGCGACTTGCCGTCGGCTTTGTCATGCTGTAGCTTGACTGCATCTGCGGCTGATTTGTGGCTCGCCACTGCAAACCGTTCAGGCATGCCTCGTAATTCCTGGCTGTGCGTCGAAAATTCAAGATAAGTACTTTGAAACAATACTATATATTGGTAAAATCTGAGTTAATTATCTGTTGTACCTACTTAACTACAAAGCAGACTATAACAAAGGCAGTGTGATTCCGTCACGACAACATGCGAATGGCATTCGATCCACGCATGTCAAAGAGACATGCGTGGGTCTTTGCCCCCAGTGTCCACAGGTAGTGTATCACCTTCGTCGCGGAATACTGAATTAAACCGTATAATTTACACGTGGCCAGCTTTCCTCATCTCTGGATTTTGGAAATGCCTTCCCTGGTATGTTGGTCTGCATTGTCTACATTGTCCACAATGTTGCATCTGCCTAAACTCGGACTCTAATCAGGCATTGGATTAACACCAAAAATGTGTCTATTCCTCTGCCCGAACTTATTTTTTCTTCCCCACGCTTTTTGCACGACCAAAACGATTATTTCGACAAAGCATCTTTTTGGTTTTTTGTTTGGCCATCTGAAAATTTTGTCTGAACTCGGTATCCGACCTCTGTTGGGATAATCACCGGTCCCCATACTGATAGCCTTATAGGACTTTGGCCCGGACTACACAAATCATTTGGTAAAAGTCTGATGCAGTCTCAGATAGTAATTGAATGGAAAGTAAACGGCATATGAATCTTCTTACCAAATTACCTACATACGAGTACAGCAATAGATTTTATACTCCGACGTGAATGTAAGGCACCCAGTGAAAAAAGGATTTCTGTCCACCAGACTCCTCACGAAGCTTCCTGATAGCAAAGTGCAATGCCTCGGCTGCTCGGGTGGGATCTGGTGGTAAGGTCTTGAAGAGATGCTCATAGACATTTCCTGCAACCCGTGGAGCGTCCGTGTCCATGATAGACCACATTGTTGCAACTATACCTCTGTACCCTGCCAACAACATACCAGCTGCAAGATGGACTGACTCCTCTTGGAGCTTTTTGTCCCCCATGGCCGTTTGACAGGCAGAAAGAAATGCAAAATCGGCGCTGGGAAGGGAGAGGTTGATGATACTGGAAAGTGTGAGCCTCTCCCTTCCAGCAATGAGAAGAGCACTCTCAGTCGGGTTAGAGGCATCTTGCACACCATGGCAGGCAAAGTGCACCCAACTTGAAGTTTTCATTCCTGCTTGAACACTTGCCACTGTTGCCTCATGTTCGTCAAAACGCAGCACAGGAAGCTTTTCCTTGGCAAGAAACTGGATTCGGTCAATCTCTTCACGGGTCCCCGGAATATACAACTGGCCAGATGCAGATGGCTGTGCAACTGCCAGTAATTGTGCTTCTCTCTTCGATTTCGAGTGGGGCCGAA